TTGTCAACCTTTAATAAATTATTGTATCACTATTTGGGGAGGCATACCTAAAACGAACCTGAATTGTGTAGAAGTTGCACAACGAACAATTCTAAAGATTTGTACTTTCAAACCATATCTGTATCCTACAAATCTTTAATACAATCACTGCGAGGTACTCTCCGTTAGGCAACTATTTATATTATCTGTTGTTTTAAAGAAGCACCTGGAAGCTCCAACCGACCACATGAGATTGAGTAAAAGGAGAAAAGATATTAAATATCATCAGAACCGGCAAAATCGGCATTTTTTGCGCAACGTTTTTACAAATTCATTTATAATAAATGTAGTAAATATATAACAATTAATACTTTGAACAAATATGACTGTAAACAAACATTAACTAAATACCTATATACACTTAACTATGAAGAAACTGAAGCTCTCATTAAACTCACACACACACATGATGATGATGATTATTCCGACCGTTTTCGGCCATGGCGACCTCTTCAACTCCTAATTGATTTGACGCTGATGCGCCCGAAAATGGCTTATATAGCCAATCTTGGCGGCAAACTCTCTTGCACAGTGAGGGCATGTGAGTACGCCGCCTACATAGTTATAATTAATGGCGGCGGTTGGACGGGCCTTTAGGTCATCGCGCTTAGCGTCGAGTTCAGCTTTACGCTGATCTTCAAACTCGCGGATACGCCTCTGCACAATTCCGCGCCACTCCGTACGCTGCGCTGCCAAAACCTCCCACTTGGATGGCTCTATGTTGCATCTCTTCATATGTCGTTTGTGAACATCTTTGTATCTGAGGAGTTGACCGCCATGTTTCCGTTTCCCCTCCTCTAGTTCAGAGTAAAACATGCGTTTCGCCACTCGTTCCTCCGCCATACGTGACACATGACCACACCATCGAAGCTGCCGACGTATTAAATATGCCTCAATGCCACCGACATTGGCTCGTCGCAAAACTTCAGTATTACGCACCCGGTTGGACCATCTGATCTTCATGATGGTACGAAGGCATTTAAGGTGGAACCGATCCAGAGTACGAATGTGGTGGCGATACACACACCATGTCTCGGAGGAATATAAGAGGCTTGGCAGCACAATCGCCTTGTACACCGAGATTTTTGTAGCCAGTTTAAGGTCGTGCGAGCAGAAGACCTTAGATCGCAGCCTACCAAATGCAGCAGCTGCAGCACTGATCCTGCTGTTGATTTCAGCGTCAAGGTCGCAGTTAGATTTTATAGTGCTACCCAGATATCGAAATTTATCGACCTGGTTCAGCACATCCTCACCAAGCTTAATGGTCAGTGTCTCACGACCATGTGTGTCCAAGGACATCACCTCCGTCTTTTTGACACTAATCTTCAGACCAAACTTACAGCATGCTTGGTGGAAGACAGACATCAGCTTTTGCAGGCCTTGTGGAGATTCTGCTAAAAAGCATAAGTCATCAGCATACATAATCTATGTAATTAATGCATACGAGACTTTGGTGCGCGCCTTAAGTCTGGCCAGGTTGAAAAGACTGCCATCTGTTCGGAAGCGGATGCGAACTCCTTCGGAAACCGTTTGTAATACCTCTTTGACTACTACTGCAAAATAAAGGGCAAACAGTGTGGGCGCTAAGACACACCCTTGTTTCACTCCACAGGTAACGGGGAAAAAATCTGACTGTTCACCGTCTACGGAGACGCAGCATTGCATATCGTCATGCAGAAGTCTCAGAAGCCTCACAAACTTTTCCGTACACCCCAGCCTTCCTAGCACCATCCAGAGAGCTTCACGAGGCACACTGTCGAAAGCTTTCTCTAAGTCCACAAAGCAGAGATCTAGCTGACGTCCCTGTTCTCTACTTTTTTCTTGGAGTTGGCGCACAGAGAAGATAGCTTCACAGGTGCCTCGGTCAGGCCGGAAGCCAAACTGGGTTTCAGGCAAAATCTTTTCCGACAAAAGCTTCAGGCGGTTTAAAAGGGCTCTTGCAAAGACCTTTCCGGGGGCTGTCAGAAGCGAAATACCACGGTGGGAGTCGCAGTCGGACCGGTCACGCTTGTTCTTATAGAGTGCAAGTATGCGCGACACTTTGAAATCATGCGGGACTCGTTCCTCCTCCCACATACGAACAAATAGTTCCCACACCAAAGTGTGCAACTCCTCACCGCCGTACTTAAGCAGCTCGCCTGGTATAAGGTCAATGCCAGCCGCCCGTTGATTTTGTTGCTGTCTGATGGCAATCACAACCTCGTCACGCGACAGAGGCTGGTCCAGCTCAGTGGCTAGGGGGAGTTGAGGCATTAAACTGATATTCTGAAGATCAGCTAATCGATCTACGTTGAGCAATATATTAAAATGTTCGGCCCAACGCTTCAGTACATCGTCCTTGCTTGTAAGTAAGTGCGTTCCGTTTGAAGACCTCAAAGGCACATTAACTCGGTAGGGTGTTTTAATCAGTTTACGTAACTCGGTGTAGAACTCCCCAAGCTGGTTTGTGTCAGCAAGCCACTGGATATGACAAGCTTTGTCTTGCCACCACTTATCTTTTAATCTTCGAGACAGCTTACGCAATTGAGTGTCACTCTCTTTGAGCACCGCAACGCTTCCTCCTCGTCTCTTATGCTGTCGCAGAAGATCTCGGTGCTTATCCAACCCCGCTCTGAGAGCTTCGTCATTCTCATCGAACCAGTCTTCATTACGTCGGTGTTTTATACCTAAAGTAACTGAGGCAGTCTCCATGAGATGAGAAGACAACGCACTCCAAGCAGAGCTGATATCACCAATCTCACTAACTGGCGACATATTTCCAGATAATGCTTCAGCATAGATCTCCCTGAACTCACGATTTTTTAGCCTATCTACGTTCAAAGACGCAGGCTTACTTATTTGAAATCTACGTGGTGTACGGAGGCGGAGTCGCAGTTTAGTGACAATGAGTCGGTGATCAGTCCAGCAGTGTGCGCCGCGCATGACGCGGGTGATTTGGACTTGACTGATATCTCTTTGCCGTACGACAGCATAATCGATCAAATGCCAGTGCTTGGATCTTGGGTGCATCCACGTAGTCTTGTGCTTGGCGGAAAGTCTGAACATTGTGTTCGTTATTGCAAGTTCGTATTGAGCACAAAAACTGAGTAGCAACTGACCATTACTGTTCATTTTGCCAACTCCGTGTCTACCCAGAACTCCAGGCCAGGCCTCATAGTCCCGACCAACCCTAGCATTTAAATCTCCTAGCAACAGGACCTGCTCTCTGGAGCTTATGCTGTCAAGGCATTGAGATAATTCATCATAGAATTTGTCCTTGATATCATCAGACTTGTCTAGCGTTGGAGCATAGACACTGATGATATTAAGGAAATTGTCATTATCCAAGTGAAGGCGCAAGGTGGTCACGCGGTCCGAAATATGTACAGGGTACTCCTCAAGTCGCTTAACTAATTGATTCTTGATGGCAAATCCTACACCTAAAAATCGAGGTTCTGAACAAGCGGTACCTTTCCAGAAAAAAGTATAGCCGCCGCCATCTTCCACCAGCTCTCCTTCATCAGGGAGATGGGTCTCGCTGAGCGCAGCCACATCCACATCATAACGAGCTACTATGGCGGTTTTACGTTCAGGGCAGGCGTTGCCATCTCGATCAATTAGCGTTCTCACGTTCCACGCGCCAAATGTCATAACAGATGGTTTTATGGCGTTTTTATTGTTTCTGTTCGAACTTCGACCACGAATTAGGTTGATGCGATGTCAGCCGTGGCTACTACCACCTTTCAAGTAGGAACGAGCATTTTTTTAGGGCACCTTTTCTAGCCCCCTCCCCGGCTGAGCGAGGAAAGCAGTGCCTCCCTAAATAGGGCTGATTTGTCATCCCAGGTGCTGCCGAATCCACACTGTCGCCCCCATTTGCAGTGCGAAAGCGACCACGGCATGTAATCACACCCCTGGAACCGCCCGTATGCAGGAGTCAGACAAAGCCCAGCCTGCATCAAGCCAGACCTTTCTACTTCCTCCCATCGCTACGGGACTCTACGTCATCGGAGTCCATTATACGGAAGCGGTCAGATACGCAGGATATATTAAGGTGCGCAAGCGTTCGCGCACGCACTCGTCCTTCCACTCCTTGATTCAGTGGAACGGAAAACCGCTACGACTGAAGGAGAGGTTGGATGATGTGTCTAGCCGACGTTACTATAACCCTTCTAACGTCGCCCTTGGCCATCCACCTTGCCTTGCTGATTCGCTGAGTCCACCAAGCCCATTGCATATCTGCGGTGGGTCGCCTTTCACACCAAATCAGACTTCATGCGCTATGCGGGAGGGATCCACACTATACTTGTCCACCAGCACGTGACAAGCCCCCCGTCCATCCGGTGAGTAGACTCGATCTTCCGGGGTATGGTCGCTGCGCGCATCACAACAACTTTTATCCCTTAGTCGCCTTTTACGATACCCATGGGAAGAGACGGGGTGGTCCTATTCTTAAGCCGGAACCACACGGTCAACACACACACATACACACACACACACACACACATACACAAATACTGAAAAAATTAACACAGAGTTAAAGGAAGAAATTTGGAAAATGAACAAAGCCTACATTTGTTATTCCCAAACACATACTTCAATTATTAAAAATATTATACATATCTGAAACACCAACATAACTATGCAAAAAACAGTAATCCTAAACACATGGCGAATTGTACACAAAATTTTACAGAAAGACTTGAAAAATAAATATCTGTAATATTTCGAGATATATAATTGGGGAGAAATATTTTTTATTATTTTAATTAAATAAATAAATTCTATAATCATCATCATCATATCAGCATCATTTCAGCTGATTTGAGTCCACTGTTGAACTTAAGCCTCCCCCATAGTCTGTCACGAAAAACGATCCTTAGCCAACTGCATCTATCGACTTCCTGCACACTTGCGGTAAGAATAATAAATATTATTATTATCGCATTGTGGTGGCTGACTGAACCTTATTTTCCAAATCAGGAGTCGTCATCAGAACTGTCATGGTGATTATTCAACTGGAAGTGATAGTTTGCATCAGGCACATTGTCATCGTCAGAAAAATCTAGGACATCTTCACTACCTTCCCATTCTTCCGGTATACTTTCCAGGTCCTGAGTAGTCAAAGTATGATTTTTACGACTCATTTTGATCCTGAAAAAGAAATATGCCACATTCTAATTAACAACAAAAATGTATCACAATCTTACAATGTTGCATTATGAAAATAAATAAAATACTTGAATTTTCAACTTTCCTTTTACCCACACCAATTTCACTATCAGTAGGTTACAGTTAACAAACTTAAATTTGAAAAGCATATTTAATTTTTATAGAATTCTTGAACACTAATAATATTTAAAGATCTAAGAATCCAAAAAATAAGCTATTTCTTTACCTTCTAGAAGCTTGTAAATGTTTTAATTTTAAAATTTGCATTTCCAACTTATATTTATTTATCTCCATTTTATTTTTATTTATTAAATACTTAGTTTCCAATTTGGCATTTCGTAATTTAGAATTGAAGTATTTTTGTATAAGAGTTTCCTTTATTTTATTTTTAGAGATTGTTCTGTGTCCTGAAAAATCATATTATCAATAAACTATAGTACCTATATGTATTAAATTATATACAACTATACCAAGGTAAATAGGGAAAACTAGTTTGGAATAAGATGATGTGTATGGTGTGTGTTTATTTATTAATACATTGTATACTAAAATTAATCATTTACCATTAGTGGTTTTGTTAAACTTATTGTCTTCTGCAGCCTTTGCACTGGTAGACTGAGTTTCTTGATTTTCTGAAGTAAAAATTAGGAGATTATAGATTCAATATTACAAAATAAATGTTGCATTATACTTGGTACATGTGAGCATAATAACCATTATTATTGACATGGCTGAATTCATGAATCACTGTCATGGTTGGTCTCTCATCCGTTGTAGCTTCCGAATCTCCTGATGAAAAAAATAAACCATTATTTACTTAAATTGAGGATTTAAAGCAAGTAGTTTAAACATCAAACTAACCAAAATAAAATGCTCCATCATCACATGGATTATGTTCTGGGTGCACGTGGGGAGCAGCCATTACTAGATCACCATGTCCTGTGGCAATAAGTTTATAAGATCTTACATCTGTACCAGTTATTTCTTTCTAAAAAGTAAATAAACATAGATATAAATACACATAGTTACTTGGAAGTAACTTTTAATTAGTTATAATTAATTATACCTTTTCTATTGGTGCCTTTTTCTGTACTTCAATAACTCTGTCATTATACTGAAGCCTCTAAAATCAGAATTCTATTTTTTAATACATTTATAGTACAAAAATTATATGATTTTGAAAAATAAAATAAAGCATTACATTTTCTTTAGAAATGTTCTTTTTAGACCTCTGTTTAAGGTTTTCATATAGATGACGCAGTTGCTTCCAAGATCTGAAGCCACTCAAAGCAACAGAGTTATATTCATTGCATATGCAATCCCATGTTTCTCTCTTTTTTGATATCATTTTGGCATTTGTTTCTTTGTTTTCAATTATATGTTGATATCTAACAAGATTTAATGATGATGTTTTAAAATGAAACATTTGTAATTAAAAGTAATATGTCTTAATTAATAGTAAGAAAACCATTCATTGTAAGGCATAGCAAGGCAAGCTAAAGCAAATTTAGTTAACGGTAGCCCTATTTTCGTGATAATTTTAATTTTAATAGATAGGTAAAAGTCATTGAAATAAATACTAAAGGTTTTTTTGCGGAAATTTATAGATTTCGAGATAAAAAAAAAAAAAAAGTTTTATAGGTTAAATTAAAATTTGTAGAATTTGAAGAAGTGTAATCATAATCGCAGAGATTAGCAGTATAAAAAAATTTAATTACTAGGAATCGTTTAGAATAGTATTGTTTCGCAATTCAGCCCAAAAGATTTACATAATTACATTCTAAAACATTAGAAAGAGACAACTTAATGATTATATCATCTTTTAACACATTTTATTTCAGACCCCAAACTCATTTTTGGCGAGTCTTTGCCTTTAAAAAAAGAGACTAAAATAAAAACTATAACAGAGGTAAATTATATTTTAATGGCCTTTCAAGTTGTTTAAGTTTTTTGACATCATTGTTATGGTTGACAGCCCGGTTCAGAGCATTCCGACTTGGACAGATTAGGTTGGAACGTTAAGAACAGATTAGCTTCGTGGTTATTTCTTTTATAACCACCCACAAATACAGCCCTACCTAGCAAGGCTAAGGAAGAGCCTACACCTACCACAACCAGTAGCATTGCATAGGTTAGGGTAGGTTTTTTTTAATATATTTCAGAAAAAATAAATTTACGATTCCCCCCCCCCCCCCCCTCTTGTAGCAGGGTTCACCACTGCCCCCTTCCCTTACGCGGGCTACCGTATACCAATATCTAGTCTTTAAACTAATGGCAAGAATAGATTGCATAATAAATGAAAATAAATAAGATGGAAAAAACTAAAACCTGTTATTTAATGTTCGATAAATAAGATCTTATTTCAATATTAAGTAACTAACTTCTTTATTAATTGTAATAAGGTATCTTTTTCCATTATTGTGTAATTACTGCTTCGCTTCTTTTTTCCTTCCATTTTTCCTATTATATTATAAATAGATTATAATAACTGCAGAGTGGAAAAATATTAAAATTTCAACGTTGGTTTCAAAGTTAAATACTTTGTTTGTTTAAAATTGTTCAGATCAAGAATGTGCGAAATGCGAAAGTGACAGTCTCCGTTTCATTTGTCGTGTTACCATGACAGTTTTACGCAGATAATCAAGCACTCAAATTACAAGATCCATTTGAGAGATGCTCATTTGCACAAAATCGAAAAAATTGTTGAGAGAAAGCTCATTCGTCTACAATTAGCATAATTACAGATACAGATATTATAATTTCTTAAGATTTTTCAAAATATACTAATTGAAAAATCATCTTTTTGTGAAATAAAAATATTCATGAATGTGTTTTATTAGTACCTACCTGGTTCATAAGTAATTATACATGAATTCAAAAATTCATTAGGAAAGTAGCAATTTAAAAGTTGTGTTCTTACAATTACTATAGTTTGGTATCTTTGACGGGCCAGAATTACCAAAGTATTATAAGACGCTGTATGCAGTAAAAATTGGTTATTCAAAAGATTTTTTAGCAAAATCTACACATTTTATAGCACATATATGTTAACCTTGATTCTAATGAAACATTGTTTCCAAAACATATTCTCGATATATTTTCTCGACAGAAAAAAATCATGAAACCACCTCTAAAAGAGAAATTCAAATCCAAAAATGAACGTAATACATCAACAAATCTTAATGAAATTAATATCAGTGGTGTGGAATATATTAATAAAAAGGACTATTGTCTTAATTTGTTAATTGAAGTAAGATATTTGTAAATATTAAGTTAATTCATTAAAATTAATTCGAACGTGATGGCCAAAACACCGCGCCACCGCGGCGTTGTTTCGGCTCTCTTCCAATTCCACACGTTGAACAGAGAGCGCTGAGGCGCCTTGCTAGATGGTCTTATGCCGCTCGTCGCCCGCTCACCGTTACGAAATATGTTTCGTATTTATTATTGCGAGTTTTAATATTATTAGACCTTCCATAACACGAAACTAAAAAATATATATTCACATATTTCGTATTTTAAATTATTTGTATGTATTAATAGTTGTTAATTAATTTATTTAAAGCGTAATTTCAATATCTTATCTTGTGATTGGTCTATCAGTCCTATACATACAGTGTACAGAACCATCATTTCTTTATGGATTGGGTTCAAATACCGAAATTTTTTGTTGTACTTATTGTTGATTTTCTTATTTGGAAGTATTTCTTAATTACCATTTAATTTTTGTTAATTTTTTTATTTTCATAAATAATTACAACGAAATATTATTGTAATACATATACAGTTGGAGAAGAATCTCTAAGTAAATAAACCAATAAAAATTACAACTCCACCCGATGAAGGTTTGAACTTGAGACTACAGCAATTGTGTATGACGCTCGGACGAACAGGCTACGCGAGGTCTGTGGAAAGTGACAAAATGTCGATTCTTGTTATAATTGCTGTCGTTTATCGATACAAATAAAGATTCTTGCGATAATTTTTTTAAATTTCATTTTAGTTGAGAAAGTAATATAACATAGTAAATCTTGTACATTTAAGGGATAAATTAAAATTCGTAATATATATAGTAATGTAAGTAATAAAAAAAGTTGTATTCGTAATTTCTGCAAAAATTTTATGAGAAATTTCTTTAAAATCACAATATAAACCATAAAAACAAAAATAATAATTATAAGTAATTTGCCTTTATTAATTTATTTGACTTTAGGATGTATTTTTAATCAATTCCTTTTCCATTTAATTAAAAGAATAATAATAAACAGGAAGAAGATTTTCTAAAATTGTTGATTGCTTTCTCATACTTTATAGTTGTTTGTTTATTATTATTCCTATTATAATATAAAAGTAAAATACAATCATGGTCTATAAAAGATATTACAGGTATCATCTGTGTACATTTTCGAAAGCCTTCCATGATACTATCGATAGTATCCTACGGCGCATCACTAAACAACACACACAATGACTATCTAGCGGCGCGTCGACGAAATTCGAGCGCTGCGCGCCGCTAGGCGGCGTTAGCCCTCCTCCGCTTCCTCATACTTCACCAACCAACTATTTAAAAATTCACTGGAATACTGCGCCTTAAGACCAGCAGGTTTTCTTGGTGGTATTGTCATAAGAGATAGTGAGGAATAAATAATAGAACTCTAAAGACAATGTTTTTTTATTTATGGAGTATCTAATTTTATAAATATTTTTCTTCGAAGATAACAGCCCTTTACGATATCTATGTAAATATACCATTCATTTTTCTGGCTTTTTTTCAGCCCATATTGCCTCAATAGTCTTATTTCTAATTTTTTTAAAGGCTGTTAAAGTCGAAATATATTGATAGTATCGTTAAGGAAAATCTGTTCCCTAATTTGGTAATCATTTTTAACTTCATCACAATAAAATATAACAGCCGTTTAGAATTAATACTCTGTGAGATCGATTTGAATAGATTATTAGAGATGTAAAATGTATGAATCCTGTAGGTGCTGGCTGGAGAATTCTATGGCGTCGTTTGGTTTATTATAACTTTTTTTTTACATAGAGTGCACTCTATTTTATGTTCCACCAATGGGCAGGCTATCCGGGGAAGTACCATTAACTCACAGAAGACCGGCGCGAAGTGGAAGTGTTTGACTTCTGCGTTTCGTCTGGTGAGTGGGGTGGCCGGAACCCACTTTATTAAAAGGTGAGAACACATCTGCAACCCTACGGGGGTTACAAATGTCAATGAGTGGTGGTTATCACTTTACATCAGGTGAAACATTTGTTCGCTTAACACCTTTTCACATAAAAGAATTGTGAAAACGTGTACTAACGTAAGAAGTCATACTTCTTTATCGTAACAAAAGAAAAATAACTAAAAATTTTATGCCCTGTGCTAGTACCTTTGTATGTGAAAAAGAAATTAAAAGCCAATGTTTAGTGGTTATACATAGGTCACTCTAAGCTTCCGCAACTGGCCGCATAAAAAAATTTTTTTTTCTTTTTTTTGTGGTTCAGAGTGGAATAAATAATATATGTTTGCATCACCCAAATTTTTATTTTTTATAATAATATATTTAAAGACCTTAAAATTAATTAAATGTACCAGTGACATCCCTAATCCTGCCAGTCAAGTCTGATAATTAAAAAACAAACAATTGTTGTAGCACATTATTCTCACAACAAGTATAACCTCAAAGTAAAATGGAATCTATTAAGAAATTGGTCGCAGACCTCACTGAGCACTTCCTTCAAAAGGATCTTGAAGGCGCAATACCAGCAACGAGCCCAACTTCAAATATAAATTATCAATTCAATTCATTCCCATCCTTTGTTCTAACTGCACTCGAGAACTTGCAACTCCAAATAGAAGTCCTGGCTCGACAGAACGACGACATGGAGATGAATACTCAAAGAAAAGTATTGCTGGTGCACGGTGTACCTGAAGATAAGAAGGTGAAGACTCCAAGTTGTGTTATCAAAATTTTGTCCGATCATTTAAAAATCTAGTTTATAAGTCGGTCTCATCAATTGGGTCAACCTGGTACTGACAAGCCCCGGGCTATTTTGGTTAAATTCAGGGACTTTGGAATCATAGATAAGATATGGCTGGCAGAAAACATTTTAATGGCAATGGGATCACCTTGTCTGAATGTCTCACAAAGGGACGGGCATGCTGTTTTTCAAGAAGCGCGCCAACGTTTTGGAGTCTCCAAGTGCTGGGCAAGAGATGGCACCATCGTCGTACTAGGTCCTAGGGACCAAACGCGGTATTTTGTCCATAATAGATTAGACATTGATGCCATTCCAGGTTCCGAGATGGTTCAGGCCTAGTCTTCTGCAGCAACAGTTGCAACAGTTGTGAAGGATTCCAGGTCAACTCGCTTAAGACCCAAGAGAGTTGGTAAAAAATGATGAATTTTCTTCATTCTTCTTTGTGCTAGCCAGTTCATTATTTAAAGTTTTACTGTAAATTAGTTTTGCATTTGTTCTATACATTTATTTTGTTAATGTTATTTTTTGTTTTCTCTTCAATACTTAGTTATCTTTATTTTATTACAATTACAATAACAATTAAGCATTACTATTCAGCGAGGAAATGCAGCTAGCGTTCTTGGCACCATGCCACGTGGATTAGGTTCATTAGATAATATTTAATTTTAGATAGATTTAATCTTGTAAATAATAGATCAATAAAGATTACATTCATAAAAAAAAAAAAAATTTAAAAGTCACAAGAATAAATAGAAGGAAACAACAAGAACACTGGCACAAGGCAACTAACAGTAGCGATGTGCGACTCGAGTTATTTGACTCGAGTAACTCGAGTCAAACCTTAAACGAGTCAATTCGAGTTCAGTTTTAAGCAACTCGAATCAACTCGGTCGTCCGAACACAAGCCGGACGTTATACGCGGCGGCCACACCAGTTGTTTAGAGTTACACACGCGGCTCGCGGTTTGTTAGGCGTTGCAACTCGCATCAACTCGCATCAACTCGAGTTGAGTGAAATGTAAAGTTACGTTTCACGCGCGCGCGCCGTTCGTAAGGTGTTGCATCTTACTCGCATCAACTCGAATAGAACTCGGGTTGAGTCCGGCTCGTTCGGCTAGGATCGGAAACGGGATTGCGCAAATGAAAAACCGCTTTAAAAGTTCATTTTGTTTTTTGGTTGACATTTTGTTATTTGATTTTATTAGTTGGCCGTTGGCGATCCGCGTGCGAACTGAAATTTTTGATTTGTTAGTGTTCTGTTTTGTTTTGTTTGTAACGACGTCAAATAACAGAAGTGTGGCGTGGGAATTCTTTGCTTTAAAAACAGAAACTTTTTTTAACTTTATTTTCGATAAGCAATCGACTATGTACAATTACATTTTATAAGTACGACTTTGAGGTGATAGATGGCGGTATTTTATTGTCGTATTTTCTTGAACACGATTTTGAGATCTGCGCTGGAATAATATACACCTTTGTTGATTGATTTTCGAAATACATTGCACACTAGTGCCAATTGATTGTAAATTTTGTCTTTGAAATCCCAACTGTCGGACACTGTTCGAGGTCGGGGTGTATAGAAAAAGGAGAGGATTAGTTCAGACCACAAACGAAGTTGCGAATCGACTCGAGTAGCCACATAATATCACGATTCAACATCATTATTACTTCCTATCTAATTAGCCTCAAGTCGAGCTGACTCGTGCTCTCCGAGTTGGCCGAGTCGTCTCTGAAAAATGTTAATTTGGTTCACATAGGTGCCCAAAGTATTTCGGCTCACTATCCTGATATGCTTGCATCTTTTGAGTCCTGTAATATTCATGTCATTCTTGTCTCCGAGTCTTGGTTAAAGCCATACTTACCATCGACTTCTTACTCATTACCAGGATATCACCTCATCCTCAATGACTAGTTTGGAAGAGGTGGTGAAGGGGTTTGTTACAGCCCATCTCTTCATATTGACTATTTCTCTAATTTTGAATGTTTACTAGAAAATTTAATACCTTCATTCAGTCACACAGTAATCATGGGCGACTTTAATACATGTCTACTTAAAGGAGACAATCGATGTAAAAAGCTAAATTGGTTACTGAAGCGTGTAACTTACATACTTTACCGCTTTCTGCTACTCATAACCTACCTGACTGCACCCCTTCTTTTCTCGACCTAATAATTGTGTTTTCCCCTGATTTTGTTTTGATGCATGGCCAGCATGAAGCTGATGCTTTCTCTCATCACGATCGTTTGTTTCTTTCATACAAAGTTCGCTCTCATCGAGAATCATTCTGCAGTTTTAGTGGAATGGATAAAGAACGTCTTCTTGAAGATGTTCGGCTCATTGATTGGTCTGCTGTTGCTTATGCTCCTACAGTCGACATGATAGTTGAATTGTTTAATTCGTTTATTACACAGTTTTATAACGTGCATGCCCCCGTTAAACCCATAAAAATAAATCATTAACCTGCGACGTGGTTAACAGATGATCTTAAAAACATTATTAAGAAAAAAGGCATTGCAAGCATTCTGATTAAAATACTCCGTTCTAGGAGTTGTTTGATCCAGCGTTACGTATGATCAGTTTTTTGTTGATCCGCTCAAATTTGTTGATCCATACCTGATTTGTTGATCCAATACCATATGTATGTGATTTAGTGGCTCCATTCGGATCAACAACTTCTCGTCAATATCTTTTTGAAAGTAGCTACAATTTATACAAATCCACTCCGTACTTATTTGATCCAATTCAAATGGACGAATCACAGATCACAGCAGCATTCATTGGTTGAAATCATCACTTTACGTCAGTGCCTACTTATTAAGAAGAATTACTGTATCTCGTGAATGTGATATTTGTTTAAATACATGCTTTAAAGGGCCAGCAATATCTAGCGCTCGCGCGCTTTTCAGATTCACGTGCAACACAACCATTATATTTTAATGTAAATTCGTTGCGCGCGTGATAGATTATTTAAGAATTTACATGTAATAATTAATAAAAAAAATATTGGTATCAATACTCAACTATTAATTATTTAATTCACGTATAAAATGAATGTACTTCTACTTCAATATTTAAAAAATAATGTTGAAGAATAAATAAGACTTGGATTGTTCTAGTCGTATCTTCAATACTTTATAAGTAGTTTTAATAGCAATGGAGAAAACCTGATAGGAAACAACAAGTCCAAGTGTACAATAATTTTAAAAATTATATAAAAGACAGAAAAATAATAAACAAAATTTTTCGTAATTCGTTTGTTTATAAACAAGCGTCTGTTCACAAAACCAATAAAAATAAATTAAATTATAATTTTTTTATGACGTAACAACGTAATAAATTATGATTTTATTAAAATCGTTCCATAATGTTAACACTAAGCAACAAAAAATTGTAATTTAGAAAAAGCGTTTTTAGCAGTGAAATTTTTTTTTCTTAAATGTCATATTTTCATTAAGCATCATATTCCTAAAAGAAAAAATTTGAAAATCTTATAAAAAATGTATTTATTTATAATAATTACAATTCAAGTAATTTTTTTAAAGGAACAGAATAATCACGTTTTTCATATTTCAATGCCTTAGATTGGTAATAAAACAATGAAAAATTAGAATTTTTTTTGGCAATCTTTTTTAACCTCTTTCAAGAAGTGACAAAAATATTCTGGGTTAGACTACATAGAAATAATCTATATTTTTTTTTCGTCCTCTTATTATTTATTCATGTATCTAGAAAGAACTATATTTTTTATTCCTTAATATTCTATTTTATTTGGTTAAAATAATCTTTTAGAGTCCCTTTTGATGTAAAGATTTGTCAAAAGATTTGTAAAAAGTATAAAACAACGGTTAGAGTATATATTATACAATTAGCAGTTGTTCGAAAACGTTGGGTTGACCCAAAGGAGACACAACATTAATATCTAAATACGTGTTGTTAAATGAAAAAACCGGCCAAGTGCGAGTCGGATACGCGCACGAAGGGTTCCGTATGTCCATGTCTGTTATATGGGAGCCCCACTTAAATATTTTTTTATTCTGTTTTTTTATATTAGCGGCCACAGAAATACATCATCTGTGAAAATTTCAATTGCCTTACTATCACGGTTCATGAGATACAGCCTGGTGACAGACGGGAGGACAGAAGGCGGAGTCTTACTGATAGGGTCCCGATTTACCTTTTGGGTACGGAACCCTAAAAAAGTACTTTTCCATTAGCCGGACGCTAAATGCTTAAGATTTTCACGCGCCCTCGGCAGAAGTCTCCCTTTGTGGCCCTGAATATCGCTTCACACACTTGACCCTTGTTCCGCTACTGGCTCTGCAATTTCATATTCACTCTAGTTTGTTTGTATTGCTGTTTCTATAACTGATGTCACGCTTTCAGTCCTTAGACTATTAAAGCTTCATCGAACGCTAGCCGGAACCCACGGGATTGACGCCCTCCTCAGTGGGTAGGGCCTCGCATGTACTCATGCATGCGTTAATTATAGCATGTTGCCTACGGGCCATCGAGGTCCTACGGGCCATCGAGGTATACACTCTAGTGGTACGGACCACAAAATTATGTGGAATTGGGGTGCTCTGTGTCCGATCTATGACTCACTTTGAACCCAACCTAATAACGTGTTAAATAATGGACAACGTTTTAAAACATAATAGACTTTGGTGTTTAACAATAAAATTTCATGTAAAAGTCTGACAAAAGAAAAATTTGTACCGTTGTATAAGAATCAAAAAATAAAAAAGGTACTTAATAACATAGCTTCATTGTTTCCGGTTTCATAACATTTTTAGTTAGATTAAAAAGTAACGCATAGACTGGAAAGATATTATCATTTATATATTTATTTCTAATTTGTATTCCTCCTATTGTTGCTTTTATTCATACATAAATGAAAATATAAAAATATTGCGTAAGAACCTTATATTTTATAAGTGCTGTTTAATTATTTTCAACTAGCGACCTGCCCCGGGTGCAATGCTAATGTTTGTTTTCGGCATCGCATTAGAAACCTCTAAAATTATCAGTATTTTTTTAAACTATATTATGCATGAAATATACATATAAACCTTTCTCTTGAATCACTATTTATTAAAGAAAACCGCATCAAAATCCGTTTCGTAATTTTAAAGATCTAAGCATATATATATATATATATATATATATATGGACCGACAGATAGCGGGACGACTTTTATACTATGGGAGTACTTCACTCGGATCGTAATTTAAGTTCAAGGCCAAGGTGAAAAACCCATATTTGCCACATTAACTTTACGATACATACATACACAACTTATACATATCTTTAATCTACATAATTTTTAATCAATTGTACAGAAATGTGAAATAAAAGAAATCAAGGTACGAGTATACTATTTTGCTAATCCTCACACTTCGCCTGATGAGGTTTATTACAGAAAATAAAGTCTTACTAAATGAACCGCAAATTATTAGGATTATTTTAGTTTCATTGTAGATGTAAATTAATTATCAAATATTTTTTTTTATAGTTCATCTCTTTTGTCTTGAACTACGCCGTTCAAAGCTTTTTCGCTGTATGAAGATATAAAATCATCCCAGAATCTTACAACGTTTTCGTGTAAGTTTTTATGCATTTTGAGTTCATCACTTATAACGAGACATTCCTTATTCTCTTTTGTAGCTGGATTCCACGTGAGCTCATCCCCGTCAGGAGTTGGATTCCTAAAAGAAAAGAAAATACACCATTAGGATGTAATAAGGCTTTTTGTTACCAGGTACGTTAATTTCTGACTTGAATAAAAAATACTACAACAATGTAAACATTAAAATGATTTAAACGTTAAAAATAAGGATTTTATTAAACAAGGGTGTTCTCAAAACAAGACGCAAAATATTAAATTGAACATACACGAACGAACAACCAGCCACCTTACGTCTGCTTTTGAGTTCCCGAGTGTTAATGCAATTTCTTAAAAATGTATCAATCAAAGGGAATACAATTTCACGATAATCTTTTGCGAAATAAAAAATTAACATTAAATCATTGAAAAAATAAAATACATAAATGAAATAGTTTGAATTGGTCATTTTCAAATATTTTTAATTATTTTATTTCATAACAATTTAAATTTCTTATTAATTTTTCTTTTATTTTCAATTGTTTTCTACTAATAAAAGTAATAAATATTCATAATTATATAAGAAAGCTATGGCATTTGAATTGAAAGAGGTGTAAAGCGGTGAAATAAAAAATATGTCTTACCCTGTCCTGGCAAAGTTTGCCCACATCTTTACCATGTTCTTTAAAACTTTGATTTCCTCTGCATCTTCATCTTCCAACAGCGTTTTGTATATTGTTTTTGGGTTACAGACGAACAAATAACACAATTCGTCAGCGATGGAGGCACCCCATGTGCCATCTATAGTACCAGCTTCTTTGAGCGCATTCTTCTTTCTCATATTCAACTCACCACTGTAGTCAAAAACGTAGTAATATATGGGGTGTTTAGATATGTTAGTATATTTTCTGACTGCATAGTCTGTGCTATAAAAAACAAAAACGTCTGCTATATATGACAAATATTCGCTGGGCTTGTTCACTTTTATATTGCCTTCTTCAAAATAAAACTCCTTTATTTTTTCAATGGCTTCGAAATAAACTTTATCATTGATTTTAAAGTGGTATTGTACCCTAATTGGAAGTAGTAATAGGAAATCTTTGTTTGCGTATTCAAGATATTCTGGCTTTTGTAGAAATCGCTCAGCCAGCTCTATACTCTCCCTTGAATTGTAGCCTATCATTATCGGTATATTTATCTCGATGTCGTTATCCTCAGGAAGACCCGTTATTACTGCCTCAGGGTGATCAGGCTCTATACTGGGACCAAATCCTACTAAACCTTTTTGTACGTGTCGTGAATCATCCACATATACAGCTAAATTTTCTGATTGTGAAATATTTAGAGCCGAGTAGTCCGTTAAACGCCTTAAAAGATACCGACTCGTTGTCACAGTTTCCCCAAGGGCTTCACCAAGGGCTTTCGCTTTTTTTCGTGGAGTTTCATCCATATATAATGGATTCCATGATGTTCCACTTTGTAATATAACTCCGCTAATTAAACCTTTTGCTTTGGGCGAAAATGAGAACAAATCGGCAATAACCCCACCACCTTGACTACCTAGTAAGGTTACTTTAGATGGATCGCCACCAAAACTTGAAATGTTGTCTTGAACCCATTTAAGCGCCATTATAACATCCTTGAGGCCATAATTTCCCGGCAGCAATTCATCTTCAAATGACAGGAAACCCAAAGCCCCTAGTCTGTGGTGAACATTTATTATAATTACGTTTTCTTTCATGAAGAAATCAGGACCATATTCTTTCGAACCGTTGTGCGACATACGAAAGTGTTCATTGTGAAGAAATACTATTGACGGCAGTTTTAAGTTTGGTTCGTGAAGTTTCGGTGTGTGTACACTAAGATACAAACAATCTTCGTCACCAAAGTAACCACTCCTTTTAAAAGTTCTCACAGGTAAATAGAATTGAGCACATGCTTTTCGTTCCTTTTTCGCTTCTAAAATATCGGTCCAACCTTCATGCGGTTTTGGGGACTGAAAAATTATAAATGCTGTTCATTGAAATATAATGTTAAGTTGAAGTATTTAATTTTAGAAAAAGGTAATCTCTGATGCTGTGGTAATTTAACAGTGAATGCAAATAAACATGGAAGCATTGTTCTCGTTCCAAAATAACATAACGAAAAAAAAAAGGCGCGGGACTTATAAACCGTACCGCGAGGAGGTTTTATGGATGTAGAGTTAGTTTAACTAACAAATAATTTCATTTTTGTTTGACGATAATTCAGTGTAATATTGATTGTTTATTGATTTGAATTTTTTTAATGTGAAATGTTTCCAAGGGAACAGACGGTTAACCTGATGTTAAATGAATACCACCGCCCATGGACATCTGCTACACCCGAGGCGTTCCAGAGGCGTTGACAACCTTTTGAAGATTGGGCTCCGGCCACCTCACTTATCAGACGAAACGCGAAAGTATTATAATACTTCCACTTTACGCCGGTCTTCTGTGAGGTCGTTGTACTTAACCCGAACGTGGCCCTACCACGGTTGTATATATAATAATTTTGTGCGTGATAACTGTCAGTGAGAGGTGTTATTTATTAACAATCACTTGTATGAACGTACGGCTTCCATGTTTTATTAGCGTTCACTGAAATTTAAACGGTGAAAGAATTCAATAACGTATAACAGTCACGTAAGAAGAACCAGTGGTAGCGTAAGAAACGTTTAGGTAAAATTAATTAAAATGAGAGTAACACTTACTTTAAATCTTAATTCACCAATTGGTGGTTTAGCGTAAGGTATTCCTAAAAATGAATAATACTTTTCATTCGGTATTATCGACTGGATTTCTTTTCCAGCAACTTTCCCCAATTTGGTTTCAACTATTATATTCGTACTTATGATAGTAAAACAATGTAAAAGTAGAATGCACACAAACAAATTCATATTGTTATAACCACCTTGCTGTGATATAAATAAAAGAATCACCTTTTCACTATAATCATTGTAATTTTACAACGACTGACGTGTCTTTACGATAATCGCTTCAACTACGTGGGTTTATCTTTACAATGTGATAATTTATGGCTTATACCAAAGTTCTAATCGCGATAAACACATGTTTAAAAATATCTGTAGACACAATATACTTCATTTCTGCTACTGTCTTTTTTTTTGTTTTTTTTTGTCTTTTTTTCAAACATTATCTTTTACTTTAGTATATATAAAATGTAATACAACAACATGTTATTCAACAAAGGATAATGATCCTTTGTTGTACCGAACTTTCTTGTAAGGACATTTTACAAACATAAACTTCACGTCGACAAACACCCAGATGCGAAACAACGAGTTGTGGGTCACAAAAATAGTTGTCAAATAGTTGTTGTGGGAATCGAACCCACGACCCCCGACGCCGAAGCCTAAACCTTGGCAAATTAAAAGAAACCTGTGGGATGAAACAAAAAATACACTGATATTATTGCAATTATTTTGTTATAATTCGTCAATGAATTTTTTTCCTTTCTCAGAATTATTCTGTTTAAATAGCTTTTGCCACTTATTTATAAACATTTCCCAGAAGTTAAAACGTTTTTGTAAGAGATCACGTTTTGCTTCAATCTTGTTGCTGATGTAAAGATATTCCTTGTTTTCTAAGTTATAATTTGGCCATTTAAAATTTTCGAAGGTGTTGTCATCATTAGGTGTTGGATTTCTGAAAGAATAAAGCTATTAGTAGTATTACTAAAAACTACTAGTACTAACTAGTATTTCATTTTAGCTATTATAACACTAAAGTTAAAGTAGTTTTGCTCCTAATATAAATAATGACCATGTAGTTATTTTATATATAGGTAATTTCTTTGTAAGTAAAGTAAAAAGTAAAGTAACAGCCTATACATGTCCCACTGTTGGGCAAAGGCCTCCTCTTTACAGAGGGTATCAGGGCATAGTCCACCACGCGGCCCAACTGCGGATTGGCGGACTTCACATATCTTCGAAATATTATTGTTTGTTATTATTTCGAAAATATGCAGGTTTCCTCACGATGTTTTCCTTCACCGCCGAGCACGTGATAAGTCAGCACTTAAAGTTAAAAACTTCATTGGTGCCGGCACCTGGGATCGAACTCAGGTTGCTCGAGTATATTGAATTAAAGGCGAGCGCCTGGACACTGAGCTATCACGGCTCTTTCTTTGTAATATAAATAATTTAAGGTCTAAATATCGTAGTATTATAGTAGTTAACCGATAAACATATTTTCTTTGGATATAAATACTTATTATAGATATGTGAACATCCAGCAATAGAAAATACTATGATCATCGTACTACAGACATTGTTCCATTAGAAGGGACAGGAACTTCTGGAGCAAGGTGCAATTTTTTTTAAACATTGTCCTTATTTTAGGATAACATTGTCCTGTGTTGTAAGGACGTAAAGCCACGACCCTCAACTCCGAAGCCAATACCGTGGCAACTACGCCACGGAGTCATTATCAAATAAGCGTGGATAATGGTCCTTTATGTGAATAGGGTGGTCAAAATTCAAAATTTTACAGTAATAACAATTACTTATATATAAGTGAATTAAGTTATTTAAAAACAAATGATTGCGGAAACTATAATCATAATTCAAACCGATTCTCACCCGTGTTTTGCAAAATTGCTCCAGAGTTTTACTAGTTTTCGTAGGAATATGATTTCCTCGGTCTCAGATTGATTCAATTTAATGTAATTATTAAAAAGTCTAGGGCATTTGAATAAATAACAAAGTTCGTCACCCGATGCTGCTCCCCATGTACCATCAGTTACAGTCGATATTTTCAAAATGTCATTTTTGTTCTCGTTTAATTCACTGTAATAATCGAAATGGTAGTAGAATACTGAACTACGTGATTTATTTGCGTACGTTCTTGTCATAACGTCCACGGGGTAAGATGTGAGTACATCTCCGATGTACGTGATATATTCAGATATACTGTTGGCTGTTATTTTGCCACTTTTAAAGTAATAATTTCTGATGTCATCTATAGCATCGAGATATTGATTTTTCAGAGGATCAAATTTTAAATCTGTACGGATTGGTATTAGGAAATGGAAGTCCTTCCTTAGGTAAACAAGGAATCGTGGATCGTAAAGGTATTGTAATGATGGTTCTAGACCCTCTCGGGAATTTGAACCGATCATAATGGGAATGTCAATTGCGTCGAACAAATGTTCTGGATATTCAGTGACTAGTCCATTTGGATCAGTTTCAACTATGGGTCCAAATGCCAGTAGTGGCTTTTGATTTTCTTTGTAGTAGTCCGTTGGTAGGGCATTTAATTCTTTAGCGAATATCTTTTCAGCAGGAATCTCATTTAGGTGCTTCAATAATCTATTACTGTTAGAGGTGCCTCTTTCTAATAAATTTCCCAGCTCAAAAGCTCTTTCTCTGACATTTCCTTGCAAATATTCAGGATTAAGTGATGTTCCACTCTGCATAATTGCTGCATTTATTAGATGTTTAGCTTTTGAATGAATAAGTAAATCTACTGCAGCGGCACCTCCCTGATATCCCAGCAAAGTAATTTTATTAGGATCACCACCGAAGCGCTCAATATTATTTTTAATCCATTCTAATCCGAGAACTATGTCCTTTAATCCTGAATTTCCTGGTAGAGTATCATCTTCAAACGACAAAAAACCAAAAACGGATAATCGATGACTTATCGTTGCTATTACAATATCTTCTTCAATGAAAAAATCTGGTCCATAATCTTTTGTTTTATTATAGGAGTACCGAAAGTGTTCATTGTAGAGGAAGACGATAACAGCCCGCTTAATTTCATCTATTCCTGGTGTGAAAATATCTAGATAAAGGCAGTCTTCAGCACCATATTGTCCCACAAGTTGGCCTTTTTTAATTTTATTGTAATACTGTATACACGGTGGTTTCTCTTTTTTTGCAGATAAAATATTATTCCAATTGTTAATATCTTGAGGTGGCTGTGGATCAAAATTTAACATTCAACCGTTAATAAACATTTAGTATTCTAAAGGAATATAAAAAAAACTAATACATTATAATACTAGACTGATTTCAAAAACCCATTTTGAAAAAATCGATACCGCATAAAACTTCAAGCATTGTTTTTATGTGTTCCAACATTGTTTGTTACATAGGAATTGGTTGAATAAATGTATTCAAGAAAATATTTTTTTAAATTTTGATTCAATTTAGAAATAAATATGGTAATTTTATAGTGCAATATTGCTTTTTAAATAAGACGTAGCAAGCGTGCGGGCTAATTGATAACTACTGTTTATGAATATCAATGAAATCTGTGGGGTGGTCGATGCATTGCCAACCATGTGTGGCCAAGGTATTCCCCAGACGAGCCTTCTTGTTCATGCATCAGGTTTTGTCTACTAATGTAAAGTTTTTGGCTAGACTTTGTCATGATTACATAGATCTCTATAATTAAAATTCTTGATAAATATTTTAACGGGTAGGGAAGCAAATCACGGGTCATGATTTTCTTATTTCTCCATGAAATGCCAGGTTCATTGAATTCATATTAGTAAGTTTATTTGTTTTATTTGAAGATGAAATGCGCTGGCTAAGCTGTTTGCTTCAAAGGCAGGGGCCGTCGGTTTGATTCCAACAAGGGACAATTATTCCTGTGACCCACAGGTAATTTTTCTGGCTGTGATTTGGGTGTGATTGATCTGGATCTGGTTATTAATTCCCACGGAGAATTCATATCAGGCAAGTAGTGTTGATATTTAAAATTCTAGCAGGTTAACAACATGATTCACACGGCGTGCCGGTTCTGTATAGGTGGCATAAGGACAGGAGAAAGAGCACATAAAAGATACCAGTGCCCGTCAATATCTAACTAAGATCATGATGCCGTTGTAGCTGACCAAATATATTGATTTTAGTACTTTAAGTAAACTTAGTAGACCTTGTATATGAAATGAAATTAATTATTTTATAACCTATAAAAGGAATTGAGCTGTGTAATTATCACTTTTATGTGAAGCGAGTGCATAATTAATTTCAGTTTCTTACCATAAATCGTAACTCGTTGAGAGGAGGTGCAGCGTAAGGAATACCCATAAATCCGTGGTACTTCACTTGTTTAAGTAATGTTTTAAATATTTTCCCGGACACTAATCCGTGTGATGTTCGCACAGTCTGTTCTTTTGCATGCACGGTCATAAATATGGAGAAATTTAGCATAAAAATCCAGTATACAATCATTTTGAAATATATCTTACACCGTGACATATTAGTTGTTAATGCAGTCTTAATAGGGAGTATGGCTTTTATCTTTACTAGATAAATAAATATCACTATAATCTTTATGGAATGATACCTGTAATATGGTTTAAAATATTATATTTGTAGATATTACGTAGGTATCATATTATTGTTCGTGTGTGCTAGCGTAGCGATTGTAGAAAAACTAATTTGAAATTGCAGAAAATGTCCACGGCAATCGTTCATTATTATTATCCTTGTTTCTTCTAGTTTAATCTCACATACGCGACAATTGATATCAGAAACTGATCGTGAGTCATGCAACATTCCGCTTAAAGAATCGGGTTTTTGTATTGTGACTGTGGTCACAAGAAGAAGACAGTCTTCTTCTAACGTATAATTACTGGCACACGCTCTGTAAAACGCAATAGAAAATGTAATGAAATGTAACAATTCTTCGTAAGGTTGAAGATTTGTGTTTCATGTTAGATGTAATTAGATGGAAGGAGTTGGTATTGAGGTGCCCCAGCCAGAGATGACTACAGTATCTTTTTTTTATTTGAGAAAGTTGCAAACGAGATGGTAAGGGTAATTCATGTGCATCTGAATTAGCGCTTTAAAAAATTGCAAGGGATCAGACGGCTGGAAATGCTGTCTAGTTCTACTGAAGACACTGAGCTTTTCAGATATCAGGCTCGCTCCTCTCGAACAAAACTTAAAGTTGCTTTACTGTCAAAGCTAAGATTTCCGGTTTGAGGTTCCGGTAGAGGCAGTAAGGCGAATGTCATTAAAAGGAGATTCGATGAAAGATACATTTTAAGCAGTAAGCACGTAAACCTGTGTCTTCATGGGGTTAAATTGAAGTAAATTTATTTGGCTGCAATCCGAGGATTGCAGCCAAATAAATTTACTTCAATTTCGTTTTGTTAAGCAAACTCGAGAGTTTGCTTAACAAAACAACATCAACAGTACAACATCTGCAGTAGGTCATTTCGATACCTAAGAGCGTATTTTTGAGAAATATTTGCTCGAACGCTATTTACGGCATCACGTGTACGATTCCCACACGGGACAACTATTTGTATGACCCACAGATAATTGTGATCGCCCCTATATAAGTTACTCCACAGGAAGGGCAATGTTTAAAAAAAAGGAACAGTAATACAACACTCCTCTTTCCAAACTCCAAATGTGGTCACGAGGCTAGCACCTGAAAATCTTAAGTTTTGCAATTCGAAGACTGAAAAAGACAAACAAATAAGAAATTTTAATACCAAACGCGTACTCTCGTACTCTAATAGAACTACTTTTAGGGTACGAGATACATAAGTTATTAAAACAAAACCTGGTTACTATATTCATGAAGAGCCTTAGCAGTCTTTAACAGGACACGCCTATTACAAGGCACCCTATAAAGGTTGCCCTTCAGCTTCAGGTGTAATTTTATTTATAATGTGACTTACGGCCGGTTTCAATATTTTACCTACAGATAGATTTGGTTACTGGAGATAGAATTTTGTATTCTGGAGGTAATCTCCAATACTTATCGATAGTAATCAAATTTATCTGTAGATAGAATACGGAAACCGGACGTTGGAAGATTAAGTATTTATGCATTTAATAGTGTATATTTAAACTGCAAAATATCCAACCACAGTAGTTATATCGTTCGTTTAATGTACCAAAGAAATATTTTGTAAACTTTTCACGCATATAAACGTACTTTATAATGACGTGTTCCAATAAATTTCAAATAATTTTACTACACTGTAGGATTTGAGATTAGTTAAATATGCAACGCTGTAGTGTGTATATCACATTTGTCATTTCAGTTCATTATATATTCTTCTGTGTCATAAGTATTAAAGAAGTGTTCGGAACAATAATAAAATTGGAAACTAATGGAAGTACCATTATCGGTAAAAAGCTATATACGGTATATGAAAATATTCCGTACGCTGCTTTTTTTGATATTGCCTACGCAGATCCTCCTTTAGAAAACCTAAGGTTTAAGGTATGAGCAATAAATATTATGCATTATGTATCTTTATTAACAAAAGTTTTCTAGATGTTTAAAAATATGTATTTTAGTCCCAACTACTTTGTCTTCAACATGTCCGTTGAATTCCGTTAAATTGAAAATACTATTTAAATAATGTAAATCCGTTTTTGGCTATAATTTAAGATCATAAGATGTACGTACGATGTATCAAAGAGCTGTAGATTTTGTTTGAAATAAAATAAAAATAAAAATAAATAAAATAAAAAGCTTGTATCGAAGCTGAGCCTTACTATTTATCTAAAATAATCACCCCTGTCATAAGGGATAAAGATTCAACGTGTATAAAGTAATGTAAGAGCACTAAAGACATCTAAGTTCTTTTGGTAAAAATAATAAATCTATAAAGCGTAATCTCTTTTTGTTCTCTTTCTAAATGAATTGTGCTGAGTAACAGAGATTTTTAAACTTCTATATTTTACATTAATCATGATTTGCTTACATCGTCAGGATCCAAGAGGACCTAGAATGTTAATGCCGTTTAAAACGTTCGACTTTAGCAAAGAATTTAATGATACTTATAAATTTATGTCAATTGAGAATTGTTTACACTTAACTGTATATATGCCACTTTTGGATGAAGTGTCAAACAGTTTTGCTGTTGCGGTATGGGTATATGAAAATTCGGATGATCACGATCCTGATTTCCTCATTGAAGAGGAACTTTTAGTAGTTACAATTTCATTCCGAACATCCATCATGGGATTTTTAAATACAGAAGATGAATTTGCTAAGGGTAATATGGGAGCTAAAGACGTTGTCATGTCTCTTAGATGGATAAGGGATAATATCCATTTCTTCAACGGCAATTTGAACAGGATAACAGTCGTTGGTACTGGAATTGGAGCTAATATCGTTGCATCGCTGTTAGTGTCCAGCACTGCCGAAGATTTGTTCACGGGATTAATAATACAAAGTGGTAGCGCACTCACACCGGGAGACTTTGGAAAGCACAGTTATGAACTTATCAAAAAACTACATAGCCGGATAAATGGACCATTCGTGAAATTTAATAAGGAAAAAATTTACGAGCAATTGCTTGAAACGTCTGTTAAAAAATTAAGATTAATTTCTCATGATCTCTTTGATAGTACTGAAATCAGGGATTGCCAGAGACCAATAACAGCATTTGGTTGTTCCGTTGAAAGAACGGCAAGGAACGCGTTTATTTACGAG